TTGCTGACACAGACATGCACGCATCAGATAAAAGAGCCACATTGTTTGCAGTCTGCTGTTGGAGAAAGTTGTAACTAACAGAAGGGGCTCGGTGTGGGCAGCAGAGGGCTGACGGCAGAGCAGCTGTCCGACTTTTTGCAACCTGATGGAATGAGCGTGTTTGTGTCTGAAAGAACATTGATAGTGATGTCAGCAGTGAGGAGAAGGTGAAGGTTGGGAGTGACGATGATATCTATAGTGATAACATCTTTAGCTTTATCTAAAGTAAAATGCCTAAAAGGTCTGAAAAGCGCCAGCATCTTTTCTTTGGATCTCTCATTCTACTCCTTCCTCTCTTCTGTTCTTCTGTCTGTGTTTTTCTCTGGTCACACATCTACACAATAAAAGAGACAAACCTAACCCAGAGAGACCCTGAGTGTCTGTCTGAACCTCATAGAGTTAGAGACTGTCTGAGTCTGAAGTCTTGAACTGCAGAGGTAGGCACACAGAGGCACAGTTATTAAGAGAGGTGGAGGAAGGGTTGCGGGAGAAAGGACTAAGAACACAAGAGAGCGTGAGTGCGTGAGAAAAATAGATGTGCTATAGGGAGCTGGAGGGAGAAAGTAAGAGAGAGACGAAGGGAGAATAGATGAGCATGAGTGTGTGAGAGATAAATAGAGACAGAGCTAGCAGGAGGAGGGGGAGAGTGTAAACAGCAGAAGGTTCACTGGGTTCAGTGTGCAGTAGAGGAGCTGAAAGATGGGCATCAGAACTCAAAGCCCAGGGGGCTGGATAGTGGTGCGTGACTCACATACTCATACATATATTCACACACACACACACACACACACTACACACACACACACACACACACACACACACACACACACACACACACACACACACACACACACACACACACACACACACACACACACACACACACACACACACACACACACACACACACGCACACACACACACACACACACACACACACACACACACACATTCAAATGCTATTTTAATTCCAAACATGAACTATTACACACACAAACCCCAGGGAGACATAAATAATAGAGCCATAGGAAAAGTGTGACATAATGACACCGTTGTATCTCTTTATTACAGTACCACCTAACAAATCTTCTTACGAATCCTCTTAAGTGTGGAAAGTAAAACGTTTAAAATATTTTCAGGTAATTCCTCTAAAATAGAATTAAACATTTAGAGACTACATAAATAATGCCATGTCTATGCTGTGTATTTGGTGTGTTTACTCACAAAATTGTCTCATTTCTTCACAGAGAAAAAACACGAGATATATTTGGCGTATATATCTACATGTCATCCGAACCATTTAACTGTGCGGTTAAATTGTTGAAAATTATCTGACAATGACTAATATGCAGAAGAAAAATGAAGTTCACTGCTGTATATCAGTGGCACGGCTCAGCATGACGAGTTAAACCGATACTGTCAGTCACCAAGTCCAATCAGCCTGTTTTCTCCACATGAGTCAGACACTGAAAACACTGCACACTTGCAAAACTGACATCACAAACTATCATGGTAACTCAAAACTGATGTTTCCAAGTGCACACTTTCACAGCTCGTCCACAGAGACGCAGAACACAAAATTACATATCAAAAGAGCTGTGCCTATTTCAAATGTCAGACCTTTTTCAAATAACTATATAATCAGAGAGAGTAGAGAGATGACAAACAACTGAGACACATATTGAGCTGGGTGCTATCAGAACATTTTAATAACATAACAGGTAGATACAACTGTAGTATTGACTGCTGTAGTTGTATTGAAAATATGTCTGCTTTCAAAGAAGTTGTCACATTTGAAGTTGCCTTCTTTACAAAGTCTGCATGAAAAAGCTCTGTTTCACACAATAGGTTGTGCATCTTGCAGCAGAAGCAAGCACAATCCTAACAACTTTCTGTGTCACAATGGCTAATCAACACCTTGACAGAGCTGTGTGCTCCGTTCCCTGAGAACAAAGGCATTGCTCCTGCCGTCTCTCCGTCCTACCACATTTAGCACTTTGATCATGTCTAACAGAGAGGCTGAGAGGCACAAGTTGGAGCACTGGCAGGCAGGTGTGCATATTCCTGCATTTGGCACTCGGATGTCTGTTGCCATGGTGACCCCCAGAATATCCCCGTGCAGCACAATGAGATATTTTTAATAAAGTTTGAGTGCTTTGACTTCACTGTCTGGTGCGTCTGTGAAGATGTGAAGCGGAGAACTTTTTTTGTCTGTCTGTCACTGAGGGCTTTGTTTCGATCACTAGAGAAAATCCTACATCTTATCAGTTTATGTCTCCAACTAAAGTGTAACATGGAGGAAAAGGGAATACTTACTAGTGACAGTGTGTGCGTGTGGATGTTAATACATGTGTCAGTGAGTCTGTCCTCATGTGTGTGTGCATGCGCAAATGTGTATATTTACCACAGTATGACTCACAAGCCACATCAGAGGCTGTGCTGCAGAAAATTGAGACAACACAGTTTCAAAGAGGAAGCCAGCACTGATAGAGCTGAACGAGCAACAGGCACTACACACACACACACACACACACACACACACACACACACACACACACACACACACACACACACACACACACACACACACACACACACACACACACACACACACACACACACACACACACACACACACACACACACACACACACACACACACACACACACACACACACACACGCATGCATTCACACTTATGTACAAGCACACAATAACACTGTGTAACAGTTGCTGGAAATCCCCTTTTTGTTTAGCTGAATGAATTAAACTTGGGAGTGTCAGAAACCTGAAATCCAAAAGTTTCATTTATCCAAGAAACATTTAATCAACTAGCATACTTCATCTGTAACATTTCTGAAAAATACTTGATCTTACAGATATTGACACCAAGTATTAATGACATAATACTCAATAATGGAGGTGTAAAGTCCTTTTTGTTGAGTGTTTTGTCGATGGACTCATGTCCTCATTGCACACAGCAGGTGCTTCTTGAGTGTGAGCTAAAGTGTAATTCATAATCTTCCCCAGTAGATGTCACTGTTGACTCACCAATGAGTTTAGGATAAGAAACCTTGCTGGAATGCACGTAACAAAGACCAATGAGTTCGTAGATTACCCACAGAATGGAAACGGGACAAGGCATTAATCATTTCATTTTATATTTCACTGTCTCCTTGTAGTCCCATAGAGTCTGCAATGAGTTTTCAACAATATTAGTGGCCAGACGAGAGCAGCCTCCTCCAGCTGAAGTGTGATGTAACTTGTAGTTAGAAACATCTTATTAGGTAAGGTGGAGTCAGGACCTGCAGGAATCCAAGCTGCTAAGTGCCAATTAACCGCCAATGTGTGACAGTTACAGTATGAGTCTCCGTTGTTGTTGTTGTTGTTGGAACATGTGCATGCTTAAGGGTGTGTTTGTTTATAAATGTCTTCAGGCTAGTGCGTGTGAGGTTGATTACATGTTAGTACATGCTTAAGTGTGCTGTTGCAGAAACATCTTAACAAAACAAAGAGGAGATTAATTTCAAAGGAAAGGAACATCATTTTGGGAGACATTCTGCTGTTTTAATACTATTTTGAATACACCATTAAGGACATACAGTACTTTCTAAATGTAATTGTTTACAAGTTGAAAGGAGGCTGCGCTGCTATTTTCCAGAAGATTAGTGAACACACTGTCCATAAGGCTGCTAGATTAAAAAGACACATAAATGCCAGAGAATTTACACAAGAAAATGGATTGCCAACAACCTGATGATATCTCAGAGTTTATTGATGGTTTTCTAATAATCCATTAATTAACAATAAGTGACTTTAAACAGTTAAAGGGAACCCCATCATTGTGAGCACTAGTCAGCCTTTGAAAATAGTTTATCATATATGTTGTGGCTTTGGAGAAGTTTAATTGTTGTATAATTAAGCATTTAAGCGATAGTTTGTCTCTGGTTGGCAATGTTGGTCAGTCTGTCCACCACTTCTTTCTCGACTGAAATGTCTTTATAACTATTTGATTGTATTGATTAAAAGCTATTGAGCCAATTTCTGTTTTTATCTAAGGTCCATTGAGCATTAAATCTGAAAACTTCCACCACTTTCAGTTTGTTGCCATCACCAGGCCACAATTGTTAAATTTCCCAATACTTTAATTCATGACCAAATATGTGCATAAAAAAATCAAATCTCATCAGCCTCAGCTGCACTTTTTGTTAAGTCATACATTAGAAAATGTAGAATGCTAATGGTCTGAACTAAGATGGTAAAAAAAGCTACATTCTGTACCTGCATTTGCATGTTATCTTTGCCAATGTAAGCCTGGTGGTGTTAGCATTTAACTCAAGTCACCGCTGTGCCAATAACTGCAGTTACTACAGAGCCATATTGCTTTCAAATCTTTCAGGAGTTCCCCAACTGAATGTAATTGCAATAATACATTCCTGGAATACTTTATTTTTTACAGTAAAAATGCCATTATTTAAATTGTACTATTATAAAATGTCATTGTTAAAGAGAACATTTGAAGAATTAAGAGAATGAACGCCTTCAAAAATGAAGCCTAAATTATATTACATTTCATATAATGTATAGTGTAGCATGGTGACATTTATGGTTTTCCTTTACATCTATGCTTAGACAGACTGTGATGATTTATGTATATGCTGCAACTCTTCTCCTATCAAACTAAAGCTTTCATCCCACAACAAAGTGAATAAATAAATACATACAAATGTATAAAGCAAAGATGATGGTTGAGACCTGAGGGTTAAATCCTGGTATATTCCTTCACATTATGTAAAAAGCCTATACACTTCCTGATCCTGTTGACCCCCTTGTTGTAACCACTTGGTACAGGCCAAGCCATAGCCCACTTTCACTCTCCCCCGTCCCTAAGCTGCACAGCTCTCTTCAACCCTCTCAGCCTGTCTGACAGAGAGCAAGAAAGCATGTGTGTGTGTATTTGTGTGTGTGAGAGACACAGAGAGGCAGCCGAGATGAGAGTGTGAAGCAGTGAGAGGGAAAACCTAGAAAGAAACAGTGAAGGCGATCAGAAAGGGGGGAGGGAGACAGTGAAGACCGCCAAAAGGCAGACCACAGAAGAAGAAAGAGAGAAAAGGGGAGGGATAAGAAAGTGTAATGTGGATGTACGTGGTAGTCCTGGGACCAAAGTCAAGAGATGCAATGACTAGATGACCAGCCACTTCACACATCAGCATCCTGTCCTGGAGCCCTGACAGGAGGGGAGAAGAACACACACGCACACGCACACGCACATGCACACACACACACACACACACACACACACACACACACACACACACACACACCCACACACACACACACACACACACACACACACACACACATCTCTGCAAGCACTCCCAGATCCACTGGACCATGTCTTCTACCGGGTCAACCATCCACAACAAGCGTCTGGCATGTAAGTAACCGCCAGTGTTAATAGACATGTAACTGAAGAGAAAGTTATACCAAGCAGACTTACAGTACTGTTGAGGGATTGACTCTGAATTGTTGTTCTAATTAACACGTAATGTTTTTTTCTATGGGGCAGGTATTTAGTTCATTCAATTCCCACAGCAAGGCAAGTTTATTTATATGGCACCTTTCAACACAAGGTAATTCAAAGTGCTTTACAAAAATGAAAGATATTAAGAGCATTAAGAAATAGTGCAGCAGAAACATATTATAAAATGGCATTTTAAAACACTCAAGCAATGAAAAGTTAATATATAATTATTATGCAAAGGGTATTCATTCCCTACTTATGTGTTTAGCAATACATAAATCACCACCATTCACAACAAAACAGTTAACTGTTCATGATAGTTCAGCATAAGTAATCTCCCTAATAGGATATCAGCTCATTATTAGCTGTACATTGTTATACACACTGTAGGTAATGCATGGCTGTTACATCTTTTAATTATCATTTTCTATGGGTCCTGATTTTGAAAACTTCCCCCCGATGTTCCATTATATTATTTCTCACTCAAAAAACACATGTTCAATGAATCCATGAACTTCTCGTTCAGCTTTTAACCAAGCCTTACTAGCAAATGAAATAGTCCGTAATAATAATCACAGCTATTGGACTTTTCTGTTTAACATCATTTGACAGCCTTGATGTTGATGTTACAGTGTTGATGCAGATGCGGTGTAATCACAGTGAAGGGATAACAACTCCTTGATCTTAGAGTCTGACTAAGCTAAAGGAAGAAGGTCTTTTTATAGAGACAGGGAAGACAGGCTAACTGCTACCTGCTTGCCAGAGAAACACTGTCTTGCTTTCTAATTGAGCACATTATTTCACAAGACTTTCTCTGTGTGAAGAATCCTTTGATATGTTGCCATACTACTTGCTGCTTTAATGAATATGTGTCTCTAGATGTGAGTGTTTGTCAATGTGTGCAGAGAAGAGGTAGAGCCCTACACATGATCTCTGGAGACTGCTGAAAGCCCTGTTATGGCTGACCTAAATCGGGAGCAGTGGGCATTGCTGGAGGTCATCTTTGCATTTAGCTCCGAGTGAAGTGCCTTAATGGCTTTGGGAATGGGAAATGCCCTGGGAATATTCAATCAGATCAGACATCGCGGAGTGTGTGTTCAGACAAGGTTCAAGATATGATAACAGCACCGGGCTCACACTGTAGAAACCTGAACATGAGAGTAACGTAACAATGCAGACTTCATTTGAATTAAGTATTTGAATGAATAACTTCCTGCGGTGTGACATAGTATGTAAATGATGAAGGCCAGCCTTGTGAGAATATAATTTTCTGTCTACTACACAGCTGTGTGTTTATGGATACATGAGAGTGGGAGGTGAGTGGGGAAGCATGGCGGGGGAGGTGGCTGTTGTGGTGCAGTGATCTCACTCATAAATGATTTATGCTTGATGGTCTGCTGTGGCCAGCGCGGGAGTGATTGGCTCTGTAAATTATAGCAGGAACACCTAAAAATGATGCTTCTGTATACTGCTGAGAGCCGGGTGACACCATCATCGGCCCCTTCCTTACTGTAGGAGAGGAGGGGAGGAGTCTGAGATAGATTGGCTGTCAAATGGGACTGGCCATGCAGTGCAAATGCCTTCCTAGCTCTTTCACTCTCACACACACAAACACCCAGTCTTTCTGTTCTCTTAAAACAGAGAGATGATCATGGGATTTCTTTCCATTTGCCACAGGGAGACTGAACGCTTCACCATGTGACTCTTTGGTTCAATAGGAACATTTGTTCCCTGCTTCCTTTGCAGTTCCCAGAACTCTTGATGTATTATTTCCTCATTAGAATGACACAGAGCAGCTAATGATGCATGTATTCAGAGTGAGATGTTTTCATTAGAGAAAAGTTGCTGATAAGGTAGAAAGGCAGAAGACAACATAGAGAAACACATGCACACTGCATGATGGGGCAAAAATAAACCATGACAGAAACTGGTGTGTAATTCAGCACATTTTATAAAAGAAATATAAGACGAGCCGTGTGGATTATTGGGAGCAGAGTAGTGGAACTAGCTAACGGATCAGACTGGAAGAATAATCAGAAGGATAAAAACATCATGTGCTTCAGCTCAACTGTCACCTCTGGCCCTGCCCCCCCCCCCCACCTCTACATCTTGTATTAGATTCCTAGACATAAAGAAATGCTGATGGTCTGATCAACAGCAAGCAAAGTAGAAATGCCTGAAAGAGTAGTAATTAGGAAATGTGCAAACAAAGAGAATAAAGACACCAAGGTTTCTTACAGCTCTTCAATGAAAGCCAATGAAATCCCTTCTATTCAGTGCACTTTTGCCCTGACTCACAACAAATGCACATAATGCATGGCTTCTCTGCACCCTTGTTTGTGTCAGTATGAGACTTATCTGAGGTAAGCAGACTCTCACAGCTCTTTGCCTAAAATCACTGACACTACAGCTACTTTCTAGCGGGAATGATGCACAGCGGGATCAGGTTGCATAACACCACATTCTCATTTCTCCTCAACTCCTTTCTTCCTTCCTTTCCTAGAAACTCAATCTGAAATTACATAACACTTGTGATCTGTCACAGGACCTTAGCCCCCTACCCAGAAACCCCTGCTTCATCTCAGCCTACACTGAACCATAATTACCTAGGGCTTATTGATACATAATAATGTTGCAATCCTTCAACTGCACACCCTACAATTACTGTATTGTAGTGCACAATTATGAAACCAAACCCATTGTTGTTGTGAACATGCATGTAGGATGACTGGCCCAACCTGTCCTGTTAATCTAGCAGAACAGCTTGACTGAGCAACCCGTGACTAATATGTGCATTATTCTTGACATAACAGATTAAGGTAGTAATCATATTTAAAACACATACTCTTGAGGAATCATCCTACATGCATGTTCACAACAACAAGGGGTTTTGTTTCATAATCGTGCACTACAATACAGTAATTGTAGGGTGTGCAGTTGAAGGATTGCAACATTATTATGTAACAATAAGCCCTAGGTAATTATGGTTCAGTGTAGGCTGAGATGAAGCAGGGGTTTCTGGGTAGGGGGCTAAGGTCCTGTGACAGATCACAAGTGTTATGGAATTTCAGAGAGCAGCTCTAAATCTCGTCTTTCTTTGTCTTTTTCTTTGGCGTGAGATGAGAAAAACAGAAGCCTATACAATGAAAGATCTTCTACATCGTTGAGTGCGTACACTGGAATGAGAAACAGGTCCACAAGTTGAAGCATGTTTATCCTCAACTGCTACTCCAAATGTATCTTTTAATTATGTCCCATGGAATTTTGCCATATTGAGTTTTTGCCATTTGGCAAACGTGTATTAACTTCTTGGATACATATAATTTAATATCTAACTTGATTCATGCAAAAACAGTTTTTCCCATTAACGACCTGGACTGCGGCGCCCCACCATGGTCTATCTGTCACAGTTTCATATATTGGGCTATATGAATACACTTTGATTGCCGATTGGCCGATTGATAAGGAACCCAAAATGTTTTATTATTTCTTGACGGTTAGCTGTCTTGCCCTTGCCAAACACATTCTTCTCTGAGACTCTTAGGAAAACAAAACTGCTACAGTGCTTCTGGGTAATCATCAGTAGAGTTTGAGATAAAACACTGCCAGGCCACTTTTTGCACTAAGCCATCATAAAAAACTATTAATTCTATGGTTTTATTTTTAAATAATGATGTGTTTTAGTGCAGTGTCAGCAGTCATTCACATACAATGTAGAACCATCCAAGGAGCTTAGTCCCTTACTTCATCTCACCGCTCTATATTTAATTGAGTTATGTAATAATTGTATTTATGGGCTCACCCTATCACCCTGAGGCCAACACTTCAACAACAACTAAACAATACATATCAAAGCCAATTTCAGCTCTTTGACACAACTGTAGTTTGGCACTCCTTCATGTGAATTGCGCAACCTAAAAAATGAAGTTCCCCTTTTACATAACACATTTTCCATTTGTCTTTGTGCGCACAAACCAGTGAACGAATTACTAGCTGGCAATCCCTGTTTATACTGCATTTTTATTAATAAACTAATTATATCTGTTTCTTTCCAGCAGTCATAAAGATTGTTAGCAGTTAATAACCCCTGTCAAAATGAAGGGATTCCACCTTGGAGGCTAGGAACGCCATCTGGGTCTCACGCAGAGTATGGTAGTAATGCAAACCTAACCAATTTGCATGGAGACCTACATGTCTCCCACAGCAGGGTTTTAGAAAAAAACCTAGAGGTTATATCTGGATGAGTCAGCTTTTAACATACATGTTTTTCATCCACGCTGTGACAGACAGGTGGAGACATGTTGCTGAGCTTGTGCGTGGGTTAAGCATGTTCACTGGCAATTTAAGTAGCACAATTCGATTTTTAGAGAAAGAGAGAGAGAGAGAAAGACCACCCCATAAGGCCAGCAGGCAAAGCTGAAGTTTACGTAAGCAGTACGGTTTCATCATCAGGAGCCGTTGCTGTAACGGCCTGAAGTCACTGGTGTATTGTCTCAAGCTGCCCAGTGCTAATGCCTGCTGAATGATCATAGACACACGGCCGGTGGCATTGAGATAGGATGACAGGGGATTCTGGGATGTAGGCATGTTGAGGTTAAGGGTCTCCCTCAAGAGTATGTCTTTTAAATATGATTACTACCTTGATCTGTTATGTCAAGAACAATGCACATAATAGTCACGGGTTGCTCAGTCAAGCTGTTCTGCTAGATTAACAGGACAGGTTGGGCCAGTGGATTTATGTAATGGACTTTTGCAGTGGTGTGTCTAGGGGTGAGTGCTACTGTTTTTTAGTAATGGATCTATTGCTCATTAATACTTTTCCCACTTCTCCAGTATGAGATTTGGTTATAAAATCAAATCTAAAATCAAATAAATGCTTTAGAAACCAACTGGCTTATCAATGAACCAAGAAAAAGATCAGATAGATTACGAGCCGCCCCCATAATTATAGACGGACAGAAGGGTGACCAATTATAGGGAAATACATCAGATGTCTTGTTTGGTTGACAATCAAAAAGTCAAGCATCCATGACTACACAGAAAATAGCTGGATATACCATATACAGTTTATATTAAAATGAGAATAGAATATAAATTAATAAAACAATATATGAGAAAAAAATCTATTTGACCAAAGCTGGATTTGTTGCTTTACTCCACAATTGCAACTCAAAACAGGGTTGCAAATACAGCTGAAGGTTTGGTGAACTTATGCCATGAATACCAGTACTAACAGCATGTTCAGCCATATCATTTCATCTAGTTTGATCAGTGGCAATCAGAGTAGTTACTTTCATGTCTGAATACTGGACAGCTGAAATATCAGCCAGAGGGACTGTGCCTGTCCCTGCCTTCACAGACAGCTTGAATCATGAAGTAAAAGGCTGTAGTGAGCGCATGATAGTGAACACAAACCCCTCCAGGGCTGTGGAAGCGTGTCTGACAGACTTGTTGGGTATCCAGAGATCGACCTTAACTATATAAAGAGAAAATCTGGGTCAAACTGTTTGTTTTCGTGAATGTTGTTACTGTACCATCTGCTGGCATCACATGTAATAAACATGTTATTAATGCTAACTTGATACACGTTTCACACAAAATGAGCATTAACTAAATGCATGCCTTCCCAAAAGCATGAATGCATAAGCACAGTCTGATACGGTTTGAGTGAACATGCTCGCACTATATTCATACATGCCGTCACACACACACACACACACACACACACACACACACACACACACACACACACACACACACACACACACACACACACACACACACACACACACACACACACACACACACACACACACACACACACACACACACACACACACACACACACACACACACACACACACACACACACACACACACACACAAACATTAAACACTGGTGACATGAGTCAAAGTGTCAGCTCGTGAAGCCCAGTGGGAGAAGGCACAGTGTGTTCTCAGGAGGATGTAGCACGGTTACACAACCATAGCTGGTCAGAATGACAGAGGTCGATGCTGGAGGTAGATCTGAGGACAGATGCTCTCTTGTTTTTCACAGCATGCCTGCATTGTCACGCATTAAAATAAATCCTAGTAATGTCACACAATGGAAGCTTGGGGATCTTCAGAGATTTACACGGTTTGCGACAGCTGACTCTTTCTTAATCATGGGAAATGTCAGGACTTGAACAGAGCATTTACAGTACTTTCAGATAATTATATTGTTTAGAAACCAAACCGGTTGACAGCGTTTGGCACACAGTACTAGGCAAACATGTTTAAAACCTTCCTAGAGTCTAGATTTATTTTATTACAGCTTTTGTTTTGCATTGTATGATTTAATTGATAGTACTAAGTATAATTAAGAGGGAGGGGGAATAACGTTTACTGTGAAGTGCACAATAGAATGATGACCAAGGCAAAAGGGAGGGGGAATATGCCGTTCATGATGGCTGCCTTTTAACAGACACTTTAGGTGAAAGTTCTCTAATGAAATGTCAAATATACAGATGTATATATATTTTTACAACTGCTTTAAAGTGTTTTTTTGCATTAGGAAAAAAGACCTTAAAAGCACAGTCATCACAGTCATGTGAGACAGGAAACCGGCTGTGCAACTTTGCTTTATGGACTTTCTGGGAATAACACAAGTTAAGGAACAGACATTAAATGAAGCTAATTTCAGTGAAATGCAGACAAATACATAAAACAATGGAAATCTGTAAAAAAAGAATAAACTGAAATTATTTTAATGTTTTTTTCTTTGTGTCTGTTTTGGGTGGTCAGCGGAGACCGACAACTCTCAGCGGGTGTTGGACAACGATTCTGCTCAGAACTTGAAGCGAAAAGAGAGACAGCACTTTTTTGAAGACTTATACCAGCATGACGTGGACAACAACTTGCCTTCTGCTCACCTGCAGGTCAGCTTTAGGAAACGTGAGTAACTGTCCAGTCTTGGGGGCATAAATACTGTTTGTGTTGATAGAAATAGAAAACAATTGTGAAATGTGTGTTGAGTCAAAACTAATGGAGAACTGTGTTAAACATTGAAAGTTTAAATTTGGCAAACTACTTTCAGGTTTCAAATACATTAACAGCCATTGTTAGCAGTGTTTACTTAATTAAAAACAACAAGAAAGACCTGAACATTTGCAAAACTGTGGTCTGTGGGCCAGCAACGAAAAAATGGTGATATGTATTTCTTTTGACTTATACCAAAGTGTGTATTCATGTTATATACTGTAAGCTGTTCTGTCTGTAAACGCAGCCCCTATGGGAAGTATCTCTTCTATGGAGGTTAATGTGGACGTCTTGGAGCAGATGGACCTGATGGACATCTCTGATCAGGAGGCCCTGGACGTCTTTCTAAACTCAGGAGCAGACGAGGGAGCGCTGGCATCTCCACTACCAGGTGACCAGATGGCCTCTGAGCCGCAGTCACATACTGCTACTGTACTTTTCTTAAGCCTACTGTACTTTCTTGCACTATGTACATCTTCTTTTTTATATATATCCTGGCTTACTTGAAGTAAACGGTTATTTTGTGTTTTTTTTGTAAATTATAGTCTTCTTGCATTTCAATGTGTGAGTTTTTTTATACCTCGGGACTGTGAGAAACAGTATCTCGATCTTTCTGTGTGTAAAAACATATTTTGAGATTGACAATAAAGTTGACTTTGACTTAATGTAATGAAGTTTCACATGAAGGTATTACAGAAGCAGGCAAATAAACAAAACACAGAGACTTCCATGAGTTTGGATCTCTATAGTTTTGTACGATATTTAGGGTGCAATAGTACAAAACAGTCTGAAATCTCTCTTTTCTCTACCTTTACAATCCTTTTTTATGGGAGAAACCTGACCAGCATGACCTGGCTGTGATTTGCTGTATATCAAATCAAAAATCAAATCAAAATCAAATAGTTTGCGTATTTGGCTATTTGATACAAACAGTATTTTCTTAAGGTATAGAATTAATTTGTGGATTGTCAAAACTGGAGTCAGCTGCTAAACAGCTTTGCAGCATTTTATTTGGGAAGTATACATTTCCTAATACACATATTTTTGCACCCTTTCAGCAGATTGAATACCTTAATTCCTTGCATCAGTAATCCAAGTGAATCTTTAATATGGGAAACAATAAATCAATGACACAACAGGTCAGCAGGTCTCCCTTGAAAAGGGGTTCAATGATCTCAATGGGATTCACCTGGTTAAATAAAGGTTTGAAATGAAATGAAACAACACACTGACAGAACCGGTGCAGTCATGTCCTAACCGCTTCTGTTTACAGACTTGGAGGATGAAGAGGAAGATGAGGAGGATGACGATGCAGAGGTTGTGTACAGGGAGCGAGCATCTTTGAAGCGACAAGATGAAGTTCAGCGTGGATCAAAGTTTCGCATGTCCTCCACATCATCTGGTTCGAGTGACACCAGCGGGGGTGGAGCCGACACACCTGTGATCCAGTCGGACGATGAAGAAGTCCATGCCGACACTCTGCTGCTAACCTCTGTTCCCCACACGAGGGATGAAGAAACAGAGGAGGAAGACGAGGAGGAAAAATGCCTTGCCACTAAATCTCCATAAAGACTGAGTTTTACTCTCTGTAGAGATACTTGAGTTAAAACATTTTTTAAATGCCATCCTTATTTGTGGGGAGAACCCTAGCATGGTTGTCCTCGCTGTTATTTGCATTTACATTCTCTTGAATCTTTCCCTGATTATATTGAATTTTTCTTTACAACTTAAAATCAATTTTCCTAGTAAGTGTTAAACACTGTATTTAATTACTGTAATTAATGTTTAAACTGTTGAAGTAATGATCTTTCTTAATATGATCAAAATGAATCATGTCAGCAACAGTGAACGTAACCCCCCGAAACTTGAATTTCGTTTTTGTTTCATGTGCATGAGCAAACTATTTACAGTATCATAAATGGAACTGTTTGTAAATGCATGCCATTTCGTTCTCGTTAGTGACTACATTACATGTTTTCAATTGTCTGTAACTGCAGAGTGTTGCATTACTGTGCTCAATCGGAAGTCTCTCCTCCACAGCAGCTGTTCTCTGGGATTTGGATACAATAGACCAGTGGTTCCCAACCTGGGGGGCGCGCCAAATATCGCAGGGGGGGCGCCAGGCCTCAGATGATTTGAGGCCAAATATCATATTTAGACTTTAAAAAAAAAAAAATTAATATAAGTAAAAGGCCTTGTCTCTACATTACAATAAAATATAAAAAATAATTGATTGATTCATTTGAATACAAATTCAAGTTAGTAGCTATTAAAGGCATACAAAGACAGAAATGTATAATTGTTTCTTTAATAGAAATGTTTCTTCTGCCCATAAAGTGTCCAAACCAGGCTTTTCTGGATAAGCGCATTTTAAAAACATAGTCATTGTCTATGCCGGTTTCAGTTGGATTATTTGTCACAGTTGCTCCGATCAGATCGGTCTCCTCCATTTTGTAGATTATTTAAGACTTTTGAATCCACATAAACACAACGGCAAAATCCGGCTTACTTTGAGCATGTGTTTTAAACAGTTTAATCCCTTTGTGAATTGTTTCCACTTCCGCGCCTTCCTTTAATTTCTTCATACAGCGGGAATCCAAATGAACTAATCCTGAGTCCAATAACCATCAAAGTCACTTCAATAGTGCTCCTTAATTACGCTTTCATCCTCCTTTAACAAAATACTTCACATTCACCCAGTTTGTAATTCAAACTTTAATTACCGCTGTTGCGCACGCCCCCCCGCCCCCCCCCCCCCTAGTGTGTGTGGGGGGTCGCAACTTCCAACAGGAGTCTATTGGGGGGGCCCTTGGGAAAAAAGGTTGGGAACCCCTGCAATAGACAATGTGCTGAGTGAGTGATTCAGTTTCTGCACAGTCTATTTTTGAGTATGTGTGTTTGTTTGTGTGTGTATGTACTGTATGATTGATGATCAGTAACTTGGCTGGAACTCTGTACGCCTTTAGATGACAGATCCAAATCTTTTCACTGGAATCTGTGATGAGATCACTTCTCATGAAAAAATTAAATAATGTATGTGCGTGTGTGTATGTGTGCGCGTGTGTGTGTGTGCGTGTGCGTGCGTGTGTGTGTTTTAGGGTGAATACTACACAGGATTGCCTTGGTGAACCTACGCTATTTTCAAAACATCCTTTTCACAGTTTTGGTCATGATGTGAGTCTTTCTCCCTCTTGTACATCTTGCTATGCACTTAATACAAATTAAACAGAGTTTAAAAAAATCTGAATTGACTTATTATAGATACTGTATTGTTTTGCCTTTGCTGTCTCTCTTTATTTTGGACTCTCTTTTTGGAGCCCTTCTTCCAAAGATATGTTGAATAATGCTTATGAGGTCTTTATACTATATTGCTTGCTTTCTCCAAAAATATTCTTCAACACTTGCCCTCGCTAACATCTCTGCTAACGAGCTAGTAGATTATTTAATTTAATTTGTTTTAATGTTATAGATGCCATTGCTCCCACTAAGGTAAATGAAGTGTCTTGCAAGAAAATATCTCCATGGAGAAACGCCTTGACCGTGAGAACAGAAAAAAGAGTGTAGAAAAGCTGAACACAGGTGGCGAAAAACAAATCTCCATGTTCATTTGTTCATTTTGAAATCTATAAAGAGAGACTTGGCTTTTATCATTTGGAATTGAAAAATGCACGACAGTGTTTCTTCTCTGAGATCATTGCCAAAAACAACGCACGTGCCTTGTTTGCTACCGTCGACCGACTAACAAACCCCCCAGTGTCAGTAGCCTCTGAACTTCTATCCACCAGGGCCTGCAATGAATTTGCCTCCTTCACTGACAACATTCAGAAAATCAGACAAGCAGGTGTCCACTTAAAATTAATTCAAACACCATGACACAATTCCATCTCATTAAAGAGCTAGAAGACATTATTCAACATATGAAAGCTTTAGCGCAAGTTCAATAAGGAAGACCTAACACGAGTCACTTACACGTCACTCTGTGGCTCCCTTCCCCCCTCATTAAATACGAGGGCGTAACCCCTCAGCAGCCAATTGCTGCACATGCTAAATTCCTTAAATGCCTGCTCTTCCTCCCTGTCAGTTGTCATTGCAGATGATCACACGCAATGGTAGTACTACAAAAGTATTCTAAAAGTAATCTGCCACCGGTACCGGCGGGATTGTTGTTAGTTTCTGATGCGCAGAAGAAAAATCTGGCCCACCCTATATTTTTACAGGCCCACCCTAAAGTAAATTTCTGCCTACGCTACTGGTCCGCACAGCAGCAACAACCAATCACATGAATCTCTTGCCCCGACATACAAAGCAATAGCAATGTTAAAACGAAGTAAACTGGAAAAAAAAAAATAATAATCCCCAACAGGCGAAAACCTACCAGTTTCACCCACTGTCTCTGCCTCCTCCCTCCATGCCTCGCTCTTCTGGTTTGTATCCCGGTAGATGAACAGAGACTGATCATACAGCACCGGGTGATTCACTACCGCTATAATGAATTTTCCCTCAAATTTTTGGAATATGAGGAATTACCTGCGTAGTCTCTCCCAGCATACACGCGGTCTGATTGGCTAGCGCTTGTACTGGCAGATTTGCATAAACGGGATTTCATTGGCTGACGCTTCTGCCGAGGCGCCAAAAGTTGAACATTGCTCAACTTTTTGAAGCGAGCAACGCCAGCAAACGCTCCACATCGCTTCCCAAAATACAGTTCTGCTAAAAGTGACGTCACCCCATTCAAAGTGAATGGGCAGGAGCGTTTGGAAGCTGTAACGCACGCCACCGTGTGGAGGGGCCGTCACAGTGGCTCTGTGTCAGAAACATAAAATTTTTTTTAAAAAAACATTCTGGAATATCACCCCTCCACTCCCATTAACATCCCTCAGCTAGCAGCTGCGCTATCTACTCACCCAGATTCCGTGTTTGTTGACTATCTCCTGTGAGGGCTCTCCCAAGGCTTCAGGGTAGGGGTCCTCCCATCTCCCACAGTGACTTTCGTAGCAAGAAACTTACAGTCAGCCGCTAAAGAACCCAACATAGTTTGCCAGCTCATCGACAAAGAACTTCTCAAAGGATATATAATCGGTCCTTTTAGCTCCTCCCCCTTCTCAGTGTTCCGTTCAAATCCCATCGGAATAGCCACACGTAAATAAAAGGCTGATTTTCGATCTGTCCGCTCCCTGCTCCGGCCCATTCTGCAGCGTCAATAGCATCATCCCTCCAGATCAGTTCTCCCTTCACCATGCCTCAGTGGATAATGCAATAAAGATGATCAAGTTCACAGGGCACGGAGCTCGGCTCTCCAAAGCGGACATTACCGATGCCTTCAAATCATCCCCATTCATCCGTCTCAGTGGAATTTGTTCGGTATTAAGTGGGAGTCCAAACTCTATTTTCGCCGTTCGCCTGACCTTCGGGTGCAGAAGCATCTTCAATTCCTTCTCGGAAGCGCTCTACTGGATCCTGCTGAACATCGTCAGAATCCCCTCCACCTACCGGACGACTTCCTCCCCATAGACCCGCCACAGGACAGCTCAGGGATCTCACTGGCAAAGCTTAAACACTGCTTCAGGAGTGAGGTGTCCCTCTCTCCAATGAGAAAACGTTATGTCCCGACACACGCTTAGAGTTCTTAGGCATCATCCTCGACTCCATAGACATTAAGGCGTCTCTCCCCTCCGACAAATTGCAGTGCATCCGGGACATCACCAAGTCATACTGCGAGCAACAAGTTATCACAAAACAACAGTTGCTCTCCCTTGTCGGACACCTCAACTTCGCCATGCACGTCATCCCCCAGGGGCGCTCGTTCATCTCCCGCCTCCTGGACGCAGCATCAGCGGTCGACAACCTCCATGACTGCGTTTTCTTAGACGAAGGCTGCCGCTCAGACCTACGGTTCTGGTCCCTCCTGCTCGCCCACTGGAACGGAGTTACTTTCTTTTACGATGACCTCTGACTCAATGAGGTTCTTCACGGATGCCGCCCATTCATGGGTTTTGGGAGTTTCTTCCAGGGAGAGTGGTTCGCAGGGTCATGGCCCCGTCAATTTCTACCTCAAGCAAGTTCTCATTAAATCCGGCCTATCACCTCATACCCGGGACATTCCTTCAGGATAGGTGCAGCCACCTCTGCTGCTAATCAAGGTCTCTCTACCTCATCCCTACAACAACTAGGACGGTGGTCCTCCTCCGCCTTCACAACCTTCATTCGTCCGGACATCAGCGCCGTACGGGCTTCCCAAAGATCTCTCAGACCCTAACTATGGTATCTATGCATATAACTGGTGGTGGTTCATAACACATCTACACGTATACATGTCTCATCATGGTATCGGATTTCAAACTGCATTCCTGTCCTAGTCCGTGGGCCCCCGCCCACAGGGAACAATGTCTCGTCTCACGCTGCACCTACCTGTCACGGGCTTCATCTCCTGCACGCAGGTATCCAAATCCCAGGCCCTTGCTCAAATGTGTCAGTGTAAAATGTATATCCTGCGAAGTCAGGCGTGGACTCGGGCCACCGTACACTTCGGTGTCGTGGCTTCGGGCCACCGTACACTTTGGTGTCGTGGCTTCGGGCCACCGTACACTTCGGTGTCGTGGCTTCGGGCCACCGTACACTTCGGTGTCGTGGACGTTGGGCCACCGTACACTTCGGTGTCAGTTACAAAACAAAGAAAAAAATAAAGAAAAAGAGTAAAGAAGAAAAATAAAAAATATTTATATCCTGCGAAGTCAGGCGTGGCTTCGGGCCACCGTACACTTCGGTGTTGTAGCTTCGGGCTACCGTACACTTCGGTGTCGTGGACGTTGGGCCACCGTACACTTCGGTGTCAGTTACAAAACAAAACCGTTCGACCTTCGGGCGGCGTAGTCAAGCCCTGCTAGCCAGGCAGGCGACCCGCAGGTCGTTTTCAGATAAGACCGGCACTGATTTCGGCAGTCAGAGTCTCAGCATGACCCGTAAGCTCCGGCAGTGATTCCGGCCCAATGTCGCTTACATATGTTAATCTATTATCTTTCATTCCCAGATCACCACAGTCACCCCACAAGGTAAGCAACTCAGTTCATCTCAGTATTTCATACTTCACTGGTTTTGGGGATTTCATCGGAGCGGTTCTTTCCCTCCTGAATGATTATCCTGCAAACCGGGGCCTAATCGCCAAACACCATTACATTCTCCTGTTGTATTATCATGGCAATCATTTCATTCATATGACGTGTAAACAATAAATATGTAATCCTTACATCACGTCTCTCCGGTTTGAAATGAAAGCTTTAGCGCAAGTTCAATAAGGAATACCTAACATGAGTCACTTACACGTCACTCTATGGCTCCCTTCCCCCCTCATTAAATACGAGGGCGTCACCCCTCAGCAGCCAATTACTGCATATGCTAAATTCCTTAAATGCCTGCTCTTCCTCCCTGTCAGTTGTCATTGCAGATGATCACACGCAACCCGCCTCCACCCCTCTCGCCTCCTGTCTCCTCCAGGACAAAGCTAAACCTTCCTTCTTCATACCGGTCTCACCTACTCAACACGTCTCTCCGGTTTGAACTGAAATCCTCCTCCTGATTTGATATTATACCAACAAACGTTTTTTCAAAAATGTTTTTCATTGCATGGCCTCAGATCTCCTTCATATAGTAAACAAGTCTCTTCACTCAGGTGTTTGCCTTGTCCGCCTTGCCTTGTGTTGAAAGGCGCTATATACATAAACCTGACTTGCCTTTCCTTCTATACAAAAAGTGAACCATATTTTGGTTGCTGTCATCATTCCTCTTGTTCATATTGGATATTAAAAGAGAATTTCCCATTAATTACATAGACACAGTTTGTGGAACAAAACAAGGATGTTATGGCCAAATCACTTTAGGAACGAACCCCTTGAGTGCTAGTAACAGGAGGGAAAAATACAGCAACTAATGCCTGTTTCAATTCTGGGAACATGGACTATTGTTTTAAGTTATGAGTTTTATTGTGACTAAGATGAACCTAACCTTAAAAGCTGACAGGCTCCAAATCTCACATGCACCAAATTATAATTCTTGCAATGTTTTTTTCACCTGCATGAGAGAATCTATTTCCCACAGGAAAAATGTCACAACCATAACAAGTACTGAATCGCACTGTCAGGTCTTCCTCTCTGTTCTTTTTATTATGCTTTCTGATTCTTCTAGTTTTGGAAGTTGCCTGTACTTTCTCTTAATGACCTTAATAGTTCACTTGTTATCTCTGACTACATTTGCTAGTACCGTTCTGATCTTTACCTGGTTATCATTTTGCAGAGACAACCAAAACGTTTTTGTACTGAACATAGATTTGATTATCGTATGTTATGATTGTGTTTTTAATTTAAAGGTCATAATGCAACGCAGAGGCATGCCAGGGGGGGCGCGAGAGACAAGGAGGAAAAATGGTTATAAAAAAATAATCATAATTTAAAAAATAATTGATTCGAAAATAATATGATGCAGTACAGTACTATTACGTCTGGGTCTCTGTGTTTCATTAAAGCTCGGCTCTGTGTGTGTGTGTGTGTGTGGAACGAGCCATTTTGTGTGCGCGAGAGAGAGAGAACGCACCGGTACCGGAGATTGTTGTTGTTAGCTTCTGGTGCTAGCGAGCTACGCTAACGGATATAAGGAGTTTTTTCAACAACAAAGTGGAGGAGAGTCCTCTCCTGTCAGACTGAGAGGCTCAGTGAACTAAAGGACTCTCTCAGTGTTATCTCAGTGGGTCTCAAACGTTTTGGTCACCATTAATGTAAACAATTATTTCCGAGGCACACGTTTATATGATCATTATAGTTATAAAAAAATAAGAGAATAAATGAAAAACAGGTATGAAATACTATATGACAGTAAAACAAGAATACAGTTTAAAAGGGTGATTTATAAAATATCCATAAAGAAAAAGTAAATCTGTTTACAGTTCTGTTTCATATGGGTGTTGAGAGAGGTATCCATAGATCTCTTAATTTTGCTCTCAAAGTGCACCAGATTGATGCATTTAACTTCAATGTTTAAAAATAAATCTTCCCGGGGGAGCTTGCCCCCGGACCCCCCTATGTGAGGTCCACACACCACCTATAAAAATAGCACTTTACCCCTGCTTACACCTATATGCGGCGAGCTGATTATCGAGCCTTCATTGTAACAGTTGCGGGTACGTTGTGTATATGCGTGGGGAGTGTTGCAGTAGAAAATTCCACTGTAGCGACCGGTACATTAATGGGAAACCCTAAATGTTTGAGCACCCTCTATGAAACGTCAAGCTACCCCACAGCACCCCCAAAACAAATCTCTGGCGCCGCCACTGAGCCTGACTTGTGTTGGGGGGGCCCGACTTTTTTTTTTCTCCAAAGGGGGGGCCTGACAGAAAACGTTTGAGAACCACTGCTGTAGACTGACTGCTTACCACACCCAGTGGTAAGGGCATAAAGCTAAGTCTGTCTATAAGTCAAACCCCTCACTGCCTAAATGGAACCAGCCCCTCTGTGACACCCTTTGGGAAATAGATAAATGACACGTGGTGCATTTTATCTTGGTGAAATAAAACAGAATACAAATATTATGTGATAACTGAAGAACACATGAAAGCGATGTACAGCACTTCAATTCAAATGAATCTTCCTTTAGATAGTTAAAACAGCAACACACCAGCCACTGAGCCATGTCTGAGTCTTTACATTTACAATTGCCTTGTCATTAATATATATAGTTAATGGAATTAAGTGGGCAACTGGTAACTGTAAAACAAAACAGTTTATTTATACATAAGGAATCCACAATTATTTTCTGAAATCATATTATTTAACTGTGTGTTATCTCTATTGTATTCATTTATCACTCACTACAACTCATTTTCAATTAAGGTTCAGGCTTTTCATGTTCAAAATTCGCCTATGTATTGTTTAAGTTTGTAACTGGATGTGAGCATGCCCTCAGTATGTGTTTGTGAGACCTATCTAGACCCAAATTATGCCTACATGCAGTAGTATATGTATGGGAATATGCATGTATAAAGGGACAAAGTGTACTGTGTAAGTTTTAAGAGCTATGATTACTGCCCAGGTAGGTTTTAAATGTCATGTCAGTCTCTCTATCTGAAGCTAACAGGACCTATGGAATTCAGTTTCGTTTGTTGCCAGGCTTAAATTAGACATGGTAACCTGAGCTATAGAGCTGGAGGGGTGTACACCTGAGACAGCCCTGTTCCTCAGCACAGCCAGAGAGTACTCGTGTAACTTAAAAACTCTCTCACAAAATATATTTAGCTACAGAGCAAATATACAGGGAAGCTAAAATATCATTGTTGTCCTACACTCAAATGTAATTTGACTGATCACATAGCAGATAACTTTGCGCACAAACAGAGTGCCCTTTGGCAGTCAGCCAACCGGTCTGCAGTTATTGTGGGCTGTCTTCAGTGCACTCTTTTTCAAACTGGCTTTGCCTCTTTTGGAGTAATCCCACAGAGCAAGCAGTGTGGACCAAGATGAGGACCTGTTCTCTGCTTCTGTTGGTAGGCATACATTCTGAATTATATTTTACCTTATAAAAGGCATCATAATGTTTAAGAAGCAATCATGTTGTGTTATTTCTCTTATGAAATGAATGTTTTACGAGAGTTGTAGTTTAGTGTAGATTACTTTTAACAAGGGAATAACAGCAGGTGTATATTACGCACAATAAAAAAGTCTGCCGGTAGTTAAAGATGGATGAAGTCAGAGAGCAATACCGGTTTAATGCATCCATTATGGAAACACATTTGGTCAACATGGTAACATGACCTCCTTCATTGGCTAAGCAAAAGCACACATTTTAAACAGATCACTTCCCCTGCAGTCATATCTTTTGCTTTTATTCTACAGGATAAAAATAATAGGAAAAACTTTCTTTTTAAAACGCATATCTTAGTTCACTGGGACATTACTGATGTCATATTTTGCTCCCAGTGCCAAAATAAACTAACCATGTCAATTTAGGTGTACAGGTGTCAAACCTTACCTAGCGGTAAAATTGGTTTCCATTTACACTCACCAAGTTTTTTGTTGAAACAAAGCTATTGTAGTAAAACACTGGCTTGCAGATACACATCATAGTGAAAAGGTTCAAGCAATGTTAAGACGATTTAACTCGTTTAACTTTAATTGATTATATGATTCTGAACATCTGCAATTATCTTCAACAGTTTTATTCACGGTATATCTTGGAATAAATCATCTGTCTCCTCTATATTTACAATGTATCTTTTTATTTTAGGTTGCATTTATAGCCCTGGCCGAGTCTTTCCATGGAAGACACCACATGCGTGACAAGCGGGTAACTGCGTCATGTTTGGAAATGCAAACCCCTGCCAAAATATTTTCGCTTTTAATCAAACATTTTAATTATTGTATTTCATTCAATTGATCTTTATTATATTTTTGACAGGAGCTTTTGGTGCGTGCCAAGAGAAGGTGGGTTTTGTCTACAATTGAAATACAAGAGGAAGATACCGGGCCATTCCCGAAGGAAATTTCGAAGGTGAGGATATCATTTTGTAAATTAAATGACCAATCTCTGAGGCAGTTCAATATGTTGGCTGGGCTTTACATTAAAACAAAAACAGCTAAACAGTTTTTGTATTCACCCTAGATGTTTAATGACCGGACGAATCAAGAGAAGCACTACTACCAAATCACTGGAGCGGGTGTGACGGAGGAGCCGCAGGGGGTGTTCGAAATCGATGCAATTACCGGAAGTGTCTCTGCCCTTAAATCTATCGACAGAGAAACACATTCATCCTTTCATGTGAGCTCATAATGTAAACCAATCCCTCTCACGATATATATATTCTGTGTATATGTGTAACCCTTCTAAATCATGTTAACTTGTGTGCCTTTACCCACAGATCAAATTTGATGTATTGAGCGAACGGACTGGCCAACCAATAGACAAGCAACTAGCTTTTGATATAGACGTAAAGGACATCAATGACAACGCCCCGACTTTCCTCCCCCCTACAATGGATGTCAAGGTGAACGAAAACCTAAAAGAGGGTGAGTATGCAGTATGCATGGCTCAGAGAGTATGCGTATTTTCTACTAATACACAACAAAGAATGGAAAAGTTGTCATGAAGTCTAGAGGGTTAACCAGCGACCACATCATTTCAAACCTAAGCTCCACTTTTTATCATGTTTTTTTATAATCAAAATGTGTTCCTTTTCTCCCAATCCTACTTTTCTAACACATTCAATCTGCGTTGCTTTCTTTGTCTTCATGAAGGAGGCGCGATAGTGAATTTGATAGCCGAGGACAAAGATCAGATGAATACAGATAACTCAAAATTCACCTTCAGCTTGGTCTCACAGATCCCAAATGAGCCCAAGATTGAGTTGAAGCAGGTGGATAAAGTGGGCTTTCTCATATTGAAAGGATGTTTCGATTACGATGTGAGATTTTACCTACATCACCTGGCAGCTGCATTTAATATACTGTTCATACTGATTTATGAACACATATAAAACGTTTTCAATCTTCTTACTTCATACTTTTATATATGTTTCAGAAAGTAAAGAAGTATGACGTTATTATTCAAGCCAAAGACCATGGAGAACCATCCCAATCATCCCAGGCTGTCATTACTCTCAACATTGTTGACACCAACAATCATGCACCGACCTTCAGGCAGAAGAAGGCATAACTTTTTTTTGGTATACTTTAGTTACTTTTTAAAAGTGATTTATGGTACGATGTTAAACATGAAACTGTTCTTTTATTCCAGTACCAAGGTGAGGTGTTAGAAATGATCACCAAGAACGACATTTTGAGAATTGCAGTAGACGATAAAGACACTCCTAATACTGCTGGCTGGCTTGCCAAATACATCTTCATAAAAGGGAATGAAGAAAGAAACTACCAAATTGATACTGATCCCGTAACCAATGAGGGCATTTTAAGCGTTATTAAGGTAACTGTGCTTTTCTAACAATTGTAATTATTTTCCAATGTGCCAAGTTCAATACATTATTTTTACAGCTACAGCTGTCACAGTACTGATCTAAACGTGTGTGTTTCTTCCAGGTCAAGGATTTCGAGAGGACACAAATAACTTATCTCCTGGTTGAAGTAGAGAATGAGGAACCCTTAACTCTTTGTAAAGACAATAAACTTGTCGGCGCAAGCGAACATCCACCTCGAGATATAGTCAACATCACTATGAAAGTGATTGATGTCAATGACGCACCTGTCTATGAGAAATACACATTTGAAGTGTACCTGAAGGAAGAGGAACCGCCAGGAAAGGAGCTTTTCACTCCAACGATTACAGATGTCGACTCTGACTTATCCAAAGTCAGGTTAGTGTTTAAATACAGTAATTTGTGCTTGATGTGTTCATTGCAACATATATATATACAGAGTTTAAAACAAATCTTAAAACTACTAACAATTATTTCGGATAACGGTGGTTGTCAAAGGAATGAGGGGAAACATTTTATTGTTAACAACTGACTTTATTTGTTCTTAGTACTTGTATATGTTTTGTATGTACCTTTGCTGTGTTAGGAAAAGCAAAAAACAAGAGGTGGACAATAAAGTTAATATAATAATAAATATTAATATAATACTAATGTCATCTAATTAAATCCAAACTAATCTTATATATTTTGCAGTTTTTACTGCGAGTTAAGTGTCCAGCAGATGTCCATAACCTGATATACATAAAGATATATCTGCATTGCAATAACCTCACTACGATACATTAGTCAAGCCCTTCATTTAAATGAAATGTCCCATATTATATTAGAAATGACCTGTTGAATTACAAGGCTTACTGTATACAAAAATACTTACTTCAAGTTATGCAGGAGTGTTTTGATTGCAGCACAGCAAAACCATGCATTTGACTTCCAGCAGCTGCAATTCAGTGTTTTGATTCTCCTCATGTTATTAGGCATGTGCTGTTAGAAGATCAAGGGAAATGGGTGACCATTGATGCGAAAACAGGAACAATCACATCAGCTAAAATGATGGACAGAGAGTCAGAATTTGTTGATGAAAACGGCGTTTACAAAATCGTCATTGGTGCCATAGATGATGGTATGAAGGAGGCCTACTTTATATTCTAAGCAAACACATAATATTGCCATCTTGTTAACTAATGCCTGGATCATTAAAGGGTTTTGTTTTTTTGCTGTGGTTACACAGATGAGCCTCCAGCCACAGGTTCTTGCACAATCCTGATCCACCTCAAGGATGTCAATGACAACAAACCTATGCTGGCCACCAATGGTGCCATTTTGTGTGGAAACAAGGATAAAAAGATCATGGTGACAGCAATGGACGACGATGCCCCTCCTTTCAGTGGGCCCTTTGCATTCTCCTTTGTGGATGATGACAAAACGGTGACGCAGCGATGGAAACTAGACCCTTCCTATGGTTAGTACATATCTGTAAATCCTCCTTACTAGAAAAAATATCTAATGTTGGAAATTGACCAGCCACAACTCAGCTCTCTTTTTAACCCTTCACCAGGTGACCAAGCTGGGCTTATTAGCCGGACACCACTCCCATATGATAACTACTCAGTGCCACTGTTGATTCAAGACCAACAAGGCGAGATTACAAGTGAAACTATGGTAGTGATGGTGTGTGACTGCGGAGAGGGCGTTGTTTGCAAACCCAAAGATCCAGTCACATCCAGCCTTGGGAAAGCAGGCATTGGGCTACTCTTTCTAGGACTCTTGTTATTTTTGTGTGAGTATGGCAAACAATTTCAACATAAGTACAACCATACATTTCAGGCCCAATAAACAATAGCTCATAATGAGATCATTTAGGTAATTTAACTACAAGTGGGTTGTTAATCCTCAGGATTTATTATTCAAGCACAATGTTGCGTTATTTTACCGTGTGTCTGCAGTGCTGCTCTTCATTTTGGTGTGTCAGTGTAAAGGGAAGGAAATGGTCATGGTGCAGGATGAGGGCAACCAGACCCTCATCAAGTACAACCAGGAAGGCGGGGGCTCTGCTTTCCAGGTGAGTGTTTGTGCAAATTAGAGGGAGTAAGAGACTGAGAGTACGTAACCCCCCCCCTCTAATATTTTATTTTACTCTCTCTTTCCTGCCAGGCTGAGCCCACTCTGCTCCTGACACCTACACGCATGGTGGCTGTGAACAATGGCCATAAAACAAACACTATTAAGGTAATCCTCCCCTCCCATCTTAGTCTCATTTGACTTTTTCAACATTGATTTGAAAGTGTGCGTGCAACTTGTAGAAAAATGACTTCAGAAACTGTGTGTTTTAGAAAATGCAGCTCATAATGTCGATGTATTGACAGTGGATTACTGCTTTAGTTCAGTTGTTTTCCTTTTCTTTGTCTACTTAATTTACGTGTGACTGATTGAAGGGTGTGTTCTATAAGAATGTTGTCGGAGTAAAAGGCGTAGACACATTTATAGAATACATTACAGGGTTTGCACAGCTTGTGTAACAAGTTGTTCAAATGGTTGACCTTAAAGGCCCTGTCACACTGTCCCGAAATTGACACCCGATGGACACACGATAAAGGAAATGTTCAAATTCGGCTGTGATCGTAGCAACATCGGGCCATTCGTGAGGGCATCTTAAGCCATCGTATGACCGCCGGTGGAGTTTCTCAGGCTCCGGCAGCAACTTCGTGAGCGGCAACTTCGTAAGGCATCGTGAGGGCATCTTGTCAAATCGTGTCATCTTCGTGTTATCATCGGTGCATTCACCCTCACCCTGATCGGGGCGAATGCCCGATGGCACCGATGATAACAAGATGCCCTCACGATGGCCTTATGAAGGGCAACATTTACACACGAATTCAACACGAAAATGAACCTTCGCAAGGTCCTTTGGCAATTTTTTGGCATGCCAAAGATTTTGCCACCGCTCACGAAGTTGCTGCCGGAGCCTGAGAAACTCCACCGGCGGTCATACGATGGCTTAAGATGCCCTCACGAATGGCCCGATGTTGCTACGATCACAGCCGAATTTGAACATTTCCTTTATCGTGTGTCCATCGGGTTGTTTTATTGCACAACAAAATCATGTAAATATATTATGTAAATAACCCAATTTGTGTTCTGTGAAACTAAAAAGGATATAATATATTATTTTGAAGGACAGTTGACAGGAAGTTGTTGTTATGGAAACAACATTACGGAGAAAACGTAATATTTTCTACATATAAAGACGGATAAAGTAAAGAACAAAGTCTGAAGATATCAGTACAGTATCATAGTACTGTAACATAATTGTTTTTGGTACTTTCATTGCAGTTGTATGTCTTAAATGTAATGTAAATGTTGCCTTCGTGTGTGATTCGGGGCCATCTTCGTGCGAAATTCACAATTCCATATTCGTGTGTCCATCGGGTGTCAATTTCGGGACAGTGTGACAGGGCCTTAACAGAATAACTATGGCAATACAAAGAAGACATCTTGGATTGCCTAAAATACTTGCAAGAAGAAACTACTTGATCTGTTTACTGATCACATTTACTGCATAGCACTATTGTAGCCTTTGAAAGTGGGATGAAAGTTGGTGCAGATAAATAAGGTTCAGATGAATAAGATTGCTTTTTTTAATTCATGGACCTACACGTTTTCTAAGAGTTGATCTTGTGGCTGTTTTTCCCTTTTCAATCACTTGTTTTGCGAAGCGTTGTTAAATGTCAAAGATATAATGCAATTTGTAATCCCCCATACTAGCAAGGTTGCTTTATTCATTTGCTTTGCTCAACCAGACTTCTGAGATATCTAATGACGTGGTCAAGGACACAGACTTCTACAACAGTCGAGTGGTAGACATGGTGAGTAAGGGGCCTTTAAATATTGTCATTTGTGTATTTGTAAACCTAAAAGATGAACGATTACACCGGTTTAGAGTCATTTTTACAGGTGTGTAGATAAATGATGATTGCAAACAATTAATTATCTTATAGTGTTCAGCCCTGAGTGCAGATGATTACTACAAATCTGTAATTGGCATAAGACAGAGCCAGTAGCTGTCCTGTATTTCTATCTTCCACCCTGAATAACCTCACTGTGTAACCCCTACAGATCAACGTTACCTCACTGAGCTCGCAACCACAAAGAAACACTTTCACGAGCAGCGGGCCGGTCAGGGTAAGTGACTGCAGCTGTGATATCAATAGCAGCCTTTTTTGAATGTGTTATCTCTTTGCATCTCATTTCTCTGATAAATAGGTGTGTTTTATGAGGATGCACACTACTTTCTTAAATCCACAAGGGGGAGTCACTATCTTTGTTATAATGCTACATGACCAATGCCTATTTTGTTACAGCCTGACACATAGGAGGTTTAAGCAAGAGGATATATATGTTTTGGTCTCATTTATTTCCATGTTAGTCATTTTTGTTTCTATCCTTTGAAGAAAAACCTTTTTTTGTTCTATGAACTGTATCTATTTGTAAAGGTTAAATACTGTACAATATATTTGTGTCTTATAATTGTATATCTATACTGTATGTGTATTTAGATGTTATTATGTTGTTTTCTTGCTCATTAGATTTAGCAGCACTGTTAAAACAGCAGTTTGATATACAGTAGTTTAATATCCACACACTTTGCAGTTAAACTTGTGTTACACTGACATGGGTTTCTAATAATCACCCACCCTTATTGATTCAAATGGGATGAATACTTATACTGGTTGAATGTAAGAAATGTTTATCCTACTCTCTATAAGTGCCGTCTATTTAGTTTTTTTTAATCAAATATAGGCATTGTGAGATTGAATTAAGTATTAAGACTTAATCTGTTTATTTCCTTACTTCAGTACAATACATGGAATGTAAACAGGACTAACACCGGCCAGGTAAATATACTCTTCATTAAAAATGAATTTTTCAATAAGTAAGTCAGTCATAAAGTTATTTGACTGCAATATACACTTTCATGCATGTATAGTATGTTAACTAGACAGTGGGAAGCCCACTTATGCACATCATATTCAGCCCATCAGAGCTCACGACACTCCTCTCTCTGAACAGGGAAGCTCATCAATGTACCAGCGCTCCGTCAGCATGCGCTCAAACCAACACATTGCAGATCACATCGACAGGGTAAGAAAGTTTGTCTTAAAGCCACACATTGAGGTGCCCCCGGACATTAACCCAAAATGTTTCCCAATGGTCAATTCTCTGTTTGTGTGAATGAGAGAGAGTAATTATTAATGCTTATAAACATACCATGCGTAAAAACAAAATCCCTAAAAAGGAGATTTCTAACTGCTTTCATCAATTAAATAAGTAGTATAGTGAATATGAAATAGGGCCATGCATATACATTTATACTTCCGGATGTCTGTATGTACCTACGTTGTACCTACTTTGGACTTTAAAACAGACATTGACAGTATATTTATATATAATTTTTAGTAAGTAAGTCAGTCATAAAGTTCTTTGACTGCAATATACACTTTCATGCATGTATAGTATGTTAACTAGACAGTGGGAAGCCCACTTATGCACATCATATTCAGCCCATCAGAGCTCACGACACTCCTCTCTCTGAACAGGGAAGCTCATCAATGTACCAGCGCTCCGTCAGCATGCGCTCAAACCAACACATTGCAGATCACATCGACAGGGTAAGAAAGTTTGTCTTAAAGCCACACATTGAGGTGCCCCCGGACATTAACCCAAAATGTTTCCCAATGGTCAATTCTCTGTTTGTGTGAATGAGAGAGAGTAATTATTAATGCTTATAAACATACCATGCGTAAAAACAAAATCCCTAAAAAGGAGATTTCTAACTGCTTTCATCAATTAAATTAGTGAATATGAAATAGGGCCATGCATATACATTTATACTTCCGGATGTCTGTATGTACCTACGTTGTACCTACTTTGGACTTGAAAACAGACATTGACAGTATATTTATATAATCATTACTATTCATATCTCTACATATATATACAAAAAAAAGAAAGTTTCTACTAATTCTGTTGTTGTTATTTTATTATATAATACTTACATTCTTTATTTTTAATTCGTATTTAAACTTGTGTGAACTCCTGTGTTATCCTGGTTTTCCATTGTATCCCATATGCTGCTTTTTCAATTTCCCAATTGTAATCAATCAAGGTTTATCTTATCTTATATTTTATCACTCTTATCTTATATATGCTTTTTTAAAGTATCTGTTATTGACAAAAAATAGTGCATTAATCCTTTGATGAATCCTCAATCCCACAGAGACTGTACACGATGTATGGAAACCAGTTGGACCAGGCGGGGTACCCGCCCCAAGAGTATGCCTATGAGGGACTGGGCAGCAAAAGCCCATCACTGGATAAGCTGTCACTAAGCGACCAGGGAGAAGATATGATTTTCCTGGATGATTTGGGGCCAAAGTTCAAGACCTTGGCAGGCATCTGTCAACACACAATACAAGAAAATAACATAAAGCTTTAAAAAAAGGCAGCGCTGGACAGATTTTTTTTATATCGTTATGTTTCTCTTAATTTCAAGTTTGAGATTGTTGCGATGGACTGATCTGATTGGATGTTTTGAGAAGGGAAGCACCACAATGGTTTGATTTTGTATATGTGCATTGTGGACTTAATTATCAGATACATTTAGAGCCATATGATATATTTTGGCATCAATCCGAGAAACAGGGATAATGTAGGCGAGGCTGTCTTTTTTTGTGTTCATGCATTGCAATAACTTTCATGCTCTGGTGATTCTTTAAGTTTATGTTTTTACAGTGACTGGGAGTGTTTGCTTGTTTTTTAACTTTGTTACTTTAGGAGAGTTGGGTTCCAGAAAATCTATTTTGGTTATTGACGTTATGTCAGGGAAGTTTACTTTTTTATGCTTTAAAATTGCTTATAAATCTGTGGAAACTTGAATATGTCATAGGATGTTTGATTTTTGTCATCCACTCAATAGACCATGTACTGTAGCCTATGCTTCACAGGTTTCATTTTGAAGAACTATAATTACCTGTGTTGATTTATCTTGTATACTTGCCCACTTCATGTAGAGGGGGTCAGCTAGTGTGTGTTGGCATCAGAAATGTCATGCAACTTGTCCGAAGGTATTTTAGTTGAGTCTTGTTGACGGTTTCACGTAATCAAATGTGTCGCTGTCAAAAACATTGTTATGTCTTGTTGGATTTCATGCGATGCAAGTTACAATGGGTTCCGTTCAGTCTGTCAGAAGAAGAAGAGGAACTTGTTGTATTAATGTTTGCAATAATTTGGCACGGAAGATGCCGTTAGGTGTGGCAGTTTTACTGTCACTGCCATGCCTTCAAGCAGTAGCGTGGCGTGGGGAAAACATTAGGGGAAGCCAATAATACGTCCTTTATTTTCGGTCGGGGGTGTGGTGGTCAATGTAATAACGTAACCAGATGAGTGATTACAGCACCCGGTATCATTTTACACACATTTGTATCATACAGATGCAGGACTTACACACGCCTGTTATCTAACCGACAGGTCCGCACGCACTCTCCAGCCGAAACTCTAATAAGCATTCATTCACAAACTAAATCAGGAGACCTTTAACGTTTTACGTCCGATTCGCTCCTTTTTTCCTCTCTGTACACAGCTCCAGTTTGGGCATCGGCCTGTCATCAGATTGTATTTGTTGTTGCTGCTGTAGCGGAAGTTTAGTACAATTATTTTTTGATGAAATACTCCACATCTCCACCCTCCATAATTGCACTTGCTTCAATTGCTTGCTACTTTCTAACGGCGGTGAGAGTGATGCAGTGACGCTATCTATCTTCTATCGATTAGATTTATGATTCGAAAATTATAAAAGTAGGGTAGACATGTGGATATTATCCGACTTAACAAAACATGCATTTATCTAACAGGTTCATTATCCACTGACCTTATTTCAAGCTATTTTCCAAAATCCTATGGAGAAATCCCACTGCCTTTTTGTCGAGGGAAACCGAGTGCGGCTTACTTCCGGGTTTTAGGACGCGTCACTGCAACACTAAATTGATGCGATTTGATTGGATTGTGAGGCAAGGGAAGCCAGCCGCCTTGGTCTTCCCTTGGCATGGCCCTGACTAATCACAGGTTGGCAGGGGCATCACGTGAGCCTTGGCTGATTGGTCAATCCCTCCATTTTTTTTCACCAAGGGAAGCGAATTTCGGGCCTCCTCTCGCAACAGAGAGTGCAATCTACTGTTTCACCATAACATGTAGAGGGGCGCTGTTTCACTATTTGTAAAATACTCAATGAGAATGGGGGAGAGACGGGCCGGCAACAACACACAGCACAGAAAAATTACCGAAACCAAACGAAGTGTTTTGATTTATTTATTAAAATTATAACTACAATCCGAAAAAACAGGGGAAGCCTGGCTTCCCTTGGCCTCCAGGAGAAAACGCCACTGTTTTCAAGCACCTGTGGATTTGTACTACAAATTCATCTCGAGTCGATTGTCACTGACGGGATCGAAATGGGCACCGTCGAGAGATCAGCGGTGATTGAGAAATAATCAAACTGATCGTATCAGGTGGAGACGGAGGCAACATCTGTGGCGAGCGACGCACAATTTCTAGAGACAAGAGAGGGATCTGTGGAGGGACCTTTATGAGAGGAGGCGAAGCGAAAAGATGATGGGATGGCCGTGACAACATGAAAAAGTGTGGTGGTCTATTTTCATCCAGCGGGCATTTCCGAAACTTACATTTCCCGGGAAAACTGATATGGCATGGGGGGGGGGGGGGTTAGTCGCTCGAGATTCCAATCCTGCAATTTCCCCACAGGTGAAAGAGTTGACATGCTGAAAACCCAACCCCTGCAGGGGGGTCTGGGGAGATTCTCCCCCAGGAGATTTTTTGAAATACTAACATAAAATACACATTCTGGTACTCTCTTGAGAAGACAAATAAATAAATCTATTACTATACAACATATTTAAAAAAATTAATGCCATTACAGTTTTTTGTTACTTTGTTCTGAAAGCTGAACTTGCTGCTCCTCACAGAGAGAAGAGGGAAGAGGCTGTGTGAATTACTTTACATAGTGGATAGCCCCCATTGTTCTGTGTGTCAAAATGAAAGACAGCCCACACACCTATCAATCATCAAACCGTGGGGTCTTATTTCTATCGATGTATATAGAGATGTACTACAGCAAAAGTATTCTCCATCGGGACTTCCTGCAACAACACCACGTCGTTATCTTGATTCTGATTGGCCAGAAGACATTATCAAAGATGTTCTATTGAGAAGATGATCACTACGTGACAAAAGTTTTCAAACCGTTTCTAGTCTTCGGTATTTCCAGACAAGTGACTCAGGGTCGGCTCTAGAACAAATCGAATGGGGGGGGCAATCATTTACCAAGGGGGGCACACACTGCCGTCAACAACCAACACACAAACACCAACGCAACTTCAATTAAAAAAAACATGCTGTAAAGTCTATTGTCTTTCACACACATTGCAGGAGTGTATGTGCTATTTTATAGCGCACCTATGACTTGTGCATACATGCACGGTTGTGGCACAACCACCAAAACAGCAACATATGGACATAGGCCACCATATAAAAAGTGTGCAAATGTATTTAGTATCCTATCCATGTGAACATGTTTTCGGTGGGGGTGGACCTAACCTCCTCTAGGAGGGTCTGGGGGCATGCTCCCCCGGGAAGATTATTTTTAAAATATTGAAGTTAAATGCATCAATCTGATGCACTTTGAGAGTAAAATGAAGAGATCTATGGATAGCCTACATCTCTCAGCATCCATATGAAACAGAACTGTACACAGATTTACTTTTTCTTTATGGATATTTTACTAATCACTCCCCTTTTAAACTGTATTCTTGTGTTACTGTCCTATAGTATTTCATACCCGTTTTTCATTTATTCTCTTATTTTTTAATAACTATAATGATCATATTGGTGTTCCTCGCAAATACTTGTTTACATAAATGGTGACCAAACAGTTTGAGACCCACTGAGATAACTTACACTAAAGTGAACTATCTAAACACTGAGAGTCCTTACCTCACCGAGCTGAGGTTATACGATCCTCTCAGTCTGACAGGAGAGGACTCTCTTCCACCTTGGTGTAGAAACAGCTCTTTATATCCGTTAGCATAGCTAGCTAACCAGATGCTAACAACAACATTCCACGTTACCGCTCGTGCACTCACAAAATGCGCTCGTGCCACACACATAGGCCTACAGAGCCGAGCTGAATGAAATACAGAGACCCAGAAGTAGGCTACTTGTACTGTACTGTATATCATATTATTTTCGATGGCTTTACTGTATAATCAGTGTAACAGATGAACAGATCGCCACTGGGCTTTCATCTAAACACACAGCCGCGTAATGATAACAAAACAAAAGTCGGGGGTCATTGGTCAAGCAACACACCAATCAGAGAGCAGCAGTGAGCACACCTCAGGCTGTGTTTTATATTTGTATTCTTTATTTCTGACGTATTTCACACAAAAAACCTTTAAAAACCTTTAAAAAAAAAAAAAAACGACAAAGTGGCAAAGCTTGCCCACCCTGCGTTGACTCATTTGGGGGGGCATGGCCCGCGAATGACCCCCCATGACGCAGACCCTGAAGTGACTGCTGAAATCAATCTTACTAACTGCTGTCTCTGCAGTTTACTCCGCGCGAGTTGGCGGACTTTATTTTGCTTACTTTAAAATCATTTTTCATGGTGGGGCTAAGCCATTTCTTGGTATGGCTGTAGCCTACCCCAGTATTCCCTGGCGCAGCCACTGAACATAATAATAAAACAATTAAAATGTTGTATTCAGCCCTGATTAAAACAGCGGGCCCAAATCCTGGATGGGCGGGCCCAAATCCTGGATGGGTGGGCCCAAATCCTGGATGGGCGGGCCCGGCCCCATGGGGCCCGCCCATGACGCCGGGTCTGTACAAAACAAAGTGACAAAAAAGTATTCAAAGTTCTTGTAGCCTGCTTTAGCGTATAGGTGTAAATATATATAAAGTAATTTAAATGTGACTTTGTTTCCCTCCCTACGACGTAGCGAGACAAGGGACAGTTGTAACACAGGACAGTTGTAACGCCTTCAATCACAAACAAGCTAGAGTGATGACACTCACTCTGGCCATGCTCAGTTAGATCGAAAGATCGCTGTGAAAAAAAGGAGCCATGTTTAAATGTCTCGCGAAAGATATCAGTAAAAGTGTTTCTGAGGTAAAAAAATTAATTAAAAATGATATGATGTATTTTTTGGATACTGTCTTGAGGTCAAATGTCTAGGAATCCAAACTAGTATTATTAGAATGTTTGTAAGCTAGTACAAATATAACTAGCTAAATATGGGTCAAGCTAGCAATCAGGCAGGTTCACAGGGGGTGAAAACATGACTGGTGGTCCTGGGACGGTTGTAACACGGACAACAAAGGGGAGAAAAAGAAGAGAAACCGCTGTCCTCACAGACACTCCATTAAAAAAACAACTCGAGGCTGAGAAAAAAAAGTCTAACGCAAAACAAGTCTAAATTTAAGAGAAAAATGAATTTCTGCAAAAAACCCAAACCCAACAAGAATCAGAAGATTCAGGACTCATCTGATGAAGATGAAGCTCAATACTGCAGTGTGTGCCTGGAGAGCTACTGGTCTGCAGTGTTGCTCCTGTAAAGGACTGCACAGATGGAAGTTCTCATTCATAACACAAAAAATGAAAAGAAAAACAATAAAAACAATAAACAGTCCGTCAACTGTTCCCCTTCTGAGAGCAGCTACGGCCTCTCTCAAAGGGCGGACAATTGACGGGTCTGTGAAGGCACCACCGTCACGCGCATGCGCAGTGCCGGCTGGGGCTGTAAAGGCACGCGCTGCGCATGCGCAGTGCCGGCTGGAGCTGTAAAGGCACGAGCTGTAAAGGC